TCCCCTGAGGAACGATGAAAAGAATGGTATATTTATTTTTAACAATGAATAAATCAGCGATTATCTATAAGAATAAATGTTAGAAAAACAATAAATAAGTTTATGAAAAAGTTGCTTGTTTAAAAAAATTTCGTGGCTTTTTTCTTACTTTCAAAACGTCTGTCGTTTGAAAACTTATGTTCTTTGGTACATGAGAAATAATTGTCAAAAGTTGCATATATATGCAGGTAAACAACAGAAGATTCACGGATATTATTGTGTGTATATTTCACAACTAGTAAGATAAGTTGAAGATTGTTGACCATCAGTAACAAGAACATTGCCCGAAGTTAGCAGGGTTGCAGTATGCCCATTACGCGCTGTTGCCATGCTTGCCGTAGTGTTCCATTGGCCTGTTGATGGAGCATATAGTTCACAACTAGCAATAGCAACACCCATTGATCCACCAGCAGCGACAAGAACTTTGCCCGAAGTGAGCAAGGTTGCAGTATGCCCATTCCGCGCTGTTGCCATACTTCCTGTAATGTTCCATTGGCCGGTTGATGGATCATATATTTCAGAACTAGCAAGATAAGTTGACGATTGTAGACCGCCAGTAACAAGAACTTTGTCCGAAGTGAGCAGGGCTGCAGTATGCCCATAACGCGCTGTTGCCATGCTTCCGGTAGTGCTCCATTGGCCCGTTGATGGATCATATATTTCACAACTAGCAACAGCAACACCCATTGATCCACCAGCAGCGACTAGAACGTTGCCCGAAGTGAGCAAGGTTGCAGTATGCGAATTACGCGCTGTTGCCATGCTTCCGGTAGTGTGCCATTGGCGTGTTGATGGATCATATATTTCACAACTATTAAGATAAACTGACGATTGTTGACCACCAGTAACAAGAACGTTGCTCGAATTGAGCAGGGTTGCAGTATGCTGGAGACGAGGGGTTGTCGTGCTTCCTGTAGAGCTCCAGTTGCCTTAAGGAAAAACGGTTACAGCCGGAATTAGTATTGTAGCTGAAGTGATAAAAAACGACCTCTGTTCTGGGTTCTTTCATCTATTCAACGCTTCGTTTCTTAGGGAATGTTTCAGCATGTGAGGCTAATCAGATCAATCTCTCTCTTCAAGTATTGTGGTATAACACATTCTTTATTTCAAAGATTTCTACTTGTATTTGAAGAATCGTATAGGGAATAGAGGGAAAATTTCAGAATGCACTTTCTTCTTCTGTTTTTTATGCGAAATTCGGTGCAGATGCTACACGAAGCATGGATCAGAAGAAATGGCTGTGTTTAAGAACTGCAAAATTACCGGATGACGCGCTGGTCGTGGAGGTTGCTGTGGAGGTTGTCGTTGAGGTTATTGTTGAGGTAGAGCTTGTCGTTAAGGTTGTGGTTGAGATTTCCGTTGAGGTTGTGGTTAAGGTTATTGTTGAGGTAGAGCTTGTCGTTAAGGTTGTGGTTGAGATTTCCGTTGAGGTTGTGGTTGAGGTTATTGTTGAGGTAGAGCTTGTCGTTAAGGTTGTGGTTGAGGTTGCTGT